ACCTAAACATGTATAAAATTAAGTATAATATATAAGTAGTACATAAGTGCAAATTATACATAAATATGTGAATTAATAAAATGAATAATATGTGATGTTGCATATGATATATTAAATTATAATTTAAGAATATAATATGATAATATATTTTAATTTATATTAAGTTACTCCATTAACTCTTTATTTAATGAACAAGCAATTTCGCGCCTATTCTCTTCGAACTTAAATAGAAAACATGTATAAATTATTCCTTTTTTTTTGACATAACAATACAAGAAAGCGTAATCATAAATTATTATATATTGTATGCCAACAGCATGGAATTGTTACTTAAAATTTATTATTTAATGTATTTATAACGTAAAAAAAATTTTCTTACTTATAAAATAGATAACATAGGAGTTAATGAAATAAGATTACTAATAAATATATATTTCCTAAGCTCCTTATTTAATTTCTAAAAATTAAGTAAGCCGAAGCAGAAGGTAAAAATTTTTTTAATGTATATTCTTCTCATTATTTCTTAAACAAAACATTATTCACTATATTTATAAATCGTTATAAATATACATTATATGAAGTTGATTACAATACATAATACACTAAATATTATTCGTTCTTCTTTATATTATTTTAATTAATAATAATAAATTGTTCTTTATGCATAGGAAAAAATTTATTTCATTCTCATTGTAAGAAATGTAGGATTTTAATTATTAGTATTTTATATATTAATAATATGTTCAGTTATTTCCTTCATAATTAGAATTATATAATATACACATAAGAATACATGTCTCATAATTATCATATTAAAATTGATTTTTATATTTTAAAGCAGCGTGATTATTACAAATGAATGAATATATTTACATATATTAGTGCATTGTTTAATTGTTTTACCACTTATGCATAATAATAAATATTAATATATGATTTATATATATGTAGATATACTTCAAAAATATATTTGTATACATATATAATATGAGTGTAATAATTAACAACATTAAAAGTTGAAAAAAATAACAATCTTGCGTACACGGAATAAAATATATATATACTAAATTAAACTTACTAACATAGAAAATAAATATTAAAAGAAATTTATAACAAATATACATAATAAATAATATATTTTAATATTCTGAAAAATTAAATTCGGGTTATTATACATAACAATAATTTCTTATAATATTCTACATACTAATAGTGTAATGTTGTGTATTGTATTCCCTTTGTACTGTTATGTTTAAATATATATATCTATAATATATGTAGATGAGTAACCATTCTATTATAAATATGAACAGTCATATAAATATATTCTTTATTAGCAACTTAAAGACGTATTAATTTTTATATTTTCGAAAGGGGCAATTTTTTCATATTAGACAAAAAAATATAACACATAATATGTGATGAATGTATCAACACGAAAAATTTAGAGGAAGATGGAATTATAATTCTATTAATACTGATATATATAATGATGATACCTTATTAAAGAACAAAATATACTTATATAAATATATATCATCTTATATCATTTCGTTATTTTTATAAACTTGTTATATCTGTGCAATACATTAAATTAAGTATTTCATAATAAAAAATTAAAGTATATATTATTTTAAAGCATAAGTAAATTATAAATAATGCCAGAAATAACATTTGTGAAATAGTATTAAATAAAAATGTATATACATTTATATTATTATTTTTTTTATTATTAAATAGCAGCATGTATAATAAAATATTTCTCAATTTATATATATTCTATTTCTAACTTGGTTTATGCTAATATACAACAAATGATCTCATAACTCATCATAATTTAAGAATAACTTTCTTCATTTGTTTTTAATAATTTTTGGAGTTTTTGAATCAATGTAATATATATATGCAACATACTTATATGGAATTTTGTATATCCTTAAACAAATATTTGTTATTTTCTTATGTCTCTTGTGATTTATTAGAATGAAATAATGATAAAGAAGAATAATATGCAATTCAAATTGTGAGATTATTTATAATATATCATAAGCATACCTTAAATATTTTTTAATTATACGCACAGATACATGTTTTCTTATGCTCTAAGTTTAGGGCAATGATAAGTTATGAAATTTACTTCAGAAAATGTTAATATTTAAAAGGGGAAAAATATAATTTTTTATATATTTAAGATATTATACAAAGTAAAATTAAAAGTGTTACTATATGTTTAAATGAAAATGTAAATGACTTGAAAGTGTAGAAAAAAGGAGAACAACCTATATAACTTCATATATGTTTCAATGTATATCGTAGAAATATAAGCTATATTATATATATTTTAGTTTAATATATTACTAAATTAAGAATAAGTCATTATACATTTTGCATATGTAATAATTAAGGAATATAAGAAAGGTCTATATTTTATAATCATTTGTTACATTGAGCAACTAATATTTATAATTATGATAATAAAATTTAGTTTTTTAAGATTATAATTTATCAAATATCTGAGCATAAATGACACATTGTAACAAATCAAAGAATTCTTATAATTGATAATGTTACTCGACTTTTTATGATCCTTCAATATAAAAAATATATTGTTATGAGAATTAAAGAGGAACTATATAATAGCAAATTTTTAATTTTGAATAAAAATTTTACAATTCAAATATAAATTAAAAGAATAAAAATATGGGATTAAGTCCACTTCGTTAAATAACTTTAAAATATAGAATAGAAGATAAATTATAAGTAAATAAAATGTAAAAACATTTTATTGTAATTTAAGGGATAATCATGGTAATGTGTTTTCACAGTTTGCTCTAAATTTTATCTTCTAACAAAAAGAACCACAACTAATAACAGGCACTATGTTAATATTGCTAATTGTTGTTTTTTCCTCATGAAGTATTAATATATATGTAAAAATATAATAATACAAAAGAAAAATTAATGTCTCAGATTTTTTAAATTTTTATGTTTATACTATATTAATTAAAAGGCATTCATATATTTTTAATTATTATATGCATAATTATATAGATATATATAGTTAACAGATATGGAATATAGAGTAAATATATTTGAGGAAATAAAAAACAATATAAAGAAATTTTTGGATAATAATAAGATGTTTAGTGACTGAACATTTACATTCAACTTTAAGAAGATATACAGAATATTATATGCATTTAATAATATAGTTCTATGCAATATTTCGAGGTAATGTATGAAATGAAATTATAGATTTATTAACTTATTTAGTATGAGGATATATGTGAGTTACGTATCATTAAAGGATAAAATATATGATAAAATTACTATTGCAAATACTTTTTACTTGTATTATATGTATTTGTGTACAATAAGAATATATTAGAAAATTCAAATTAATTAAATAAACTTTATACATACAAAAATAATATACAATTGAAATATAATAGAAGTTACTATTAAGATGAAAAAGAGCTATATTATAATATATGATAACAAATATAATTCTGAAATTGTTTTTACATATAATATGATATTCTTATTTTTATTTTATGCAATATTCAGTTTCTCACAAAAATAATTAAGCATTTTTCAAAATTTTATAAGTGTATAATAATACATAAATTGCATATATATTATATTTTCTTGAAATTTTATATAATTTAATTGCTTTATATATATTTTAATAATGTATATATATGTATTTTATGTTTTCTTTTTCTCGCTATATTTATTTCGTTGTATTTTTATATAAATATAACATAAAAAGAGAAATAATGGTATAATCATTTTACATAGTTTATGAAATAATTTTTATTGTTTGTAATCATATTTCTAAAATGCAATTAAGGAAAAAGTGTAATGCTATTATCATATTATTCTGTATGTATCTACTCATAAATATTTTATATAGGATAATATGTGAACACAAAAAATATATTTATTAATATAAAGGGTTAAATGTACAAAAAAAAAGCAAGTAGAAAGAAAAATATAACAGATTATATTTATATTGTTTTCACATTTAAATTATTATTTGTTCATATATTTATATATATTTTTTTTTTCGTATTCTTTATGTTATACACGCTTTTAATACGCATTTTTTAAGGTAATAGGATTTCAGTTAAATTAGTAATTTAAAATATTTTTTGAAAATAAATACATACAAAATATAAATTATTTATTATGAAGAAAAATGCATTTCAAATATGCACTTTTCTATGGAACTTTCAATGTATATCACATTAAATTAATTTAAAAATGATTAGCATAAAATACTAACAAATGCATATAGTACATGTTATAATTAGAAAGGTTTTATATTTCTTTATATCATATTTATAGGATAAAAGAAATTCTTAAACAATATGATATTTATGATAAACTAAACATACAAAATGTTCAATAAATATAGGATAAAATTTATACTGTGAATATATATATTGCATTAAAAAATATTAATTAATGTTCCTTAAAAAAGGATCATATATTAAACGACTCATCTCATATTGATCTAGGTAAATTAAAATAATAATACTATCATTATAATTTAATAGATTCTAAAATATTTATCTATGAAGGAATTTTTATAAAAAAAAATGTATTTCGTAAATATACATTCAATTTAATTTGTTCCATTTTTGTATTTATTGCACATTCAATATATAAACTGTGTTAAATCATTATTTATTAACAGATATTATATGAATAATATTTTATAACATTAGTTATAGTATGCGTATGAAGACCAATAATATATGCCGTGTAACTAATATTCTTTACTGAATAAGATCAGTAAATATGGTACATGCTATTCTTATCATTAATAAAACATCACTCATTTGCATTAGTGAAAACATGAAAGTTAAATTTATATAAAATCCATAATAAATCTCTATATATAAATTTATAAATAAATATATATTTTTAAATAT